TAGAGTTTTTTTTCTTAACAATGACATTTTTTAATGTTTCTGCTTATTAACAATGTAAGATAGAGACATCTCTGTTCATTGAAGTCAAGGAAATAATTATGGAAATTAGTAATGGAAGATAGAGACGTCTGAAGAATCCCTTTCAGTCCCTTCCAAATTCCAATTAGTGGAAATCAGTAATAATTATAATTAGTTTATCAGTTCTCAAGTGTCAAATTGAAGATGCATTTTCCTTAAAACTTTGCCAAACGTTGACACAACACGTTGTGGGACTGATGGAGTTTTGATAAATAACCAGAAACGGAGAGTTGGAAGAAAATCGGTTGACTATTGTTGCATGTTTTGTCAGTTTGAGTGTTTTTTTAAATTTCTCTCTCTCTCTCTCTCTCTCTCTCTCTCTCTCTCTCTCTCTCTCTCTCTCTCTATATATATATATATATATATATATGTTTTCCACTTTTTGATAAATCCCAATAAAAGTATTTGGGTTAATAGTACAAAACGTCCCTACGTTTGACACTTATTTGCGGAAAACGTCATTACGTTTCATTTTTTTGCATTTTCGTCCTTATTTCAACATTTCATTGCTAAAAACGTCATTTTCATCATTTTTGAATGCAAAATGACCAAAATACCCTCCTATTTAAATAAAACAAAAAAAAAAAGAAAACAAAAATAAATAATAAATTGCAATCTTATTCCTAAATATTTTAAAAAGTGCAAATGAGTCTAAATAATTATTAAAAGACCTAATAGCACAAAACGTTCCTACGTTTGGGCTGTAGTGTGCAAAACGTCCCTACGTTTCAAATTGATGAAAATGACATTTTTCGCAATGAAACATTGAAATAAGGATGAAAATGCAAAAAAATGAAACATAGGGACGTTTTACGCAATAAGTGTCAAATATAGAGATGTTTTGTGCTATTAACCCAAAGTATTTTATCGCATATTGTTTTCAAAATAAGTTGGCTATTCTATATTCTAAAGATAATCTTTACAAACCGAAACTTTGCTCTGAGTTATTAAATAACTTGGTCTGCTATATGAAAAATAATTTTTTTTTTTTTAAATTTCTTTTAGTAATTTTATATGCGAGTTTGTTATGATCTGTAAATGAAATAGGCTAGTTACATAAAAGAAGCATATTTTCCAGATTGTTTATTCTAATGTTGTGCCAAATGGCATCTATTGTTAACCTTTATTTTGTGCTATTTATTTCAAGATCATACGAGACAGAACTGAATTATCTAGAAGTTGAATCAGAAAAGAAAAACTAGAGAGTCCTCAGATATTGCTACTTGAGCATTTTGGTGTCTCCCTACAAAGTGTGATCGGGTGAGTTGCTGTGGTTCACACATTGGTTGGGGTGTGACAATGGATTACAAGGAGAGGTGGGAACATTTCTGTGCCTCCTCCCTACAAAGTGCAACATTTTCTCAATATGCTTGGCTCGTATTCAGCTTACAAGGAGAGGTGGGAACCACCTGAATTTCAACTTTCTTGAACACCATAAAGTACGTGCATCTGCAATCCCATATTCCTGTTTTTCATAGCTACTGGTACTTTATACCATTCCAACGTTTTCCGTGTCTTTGAACGAACAGACTCCTCCTTTCACATTCACATCTTTTGGTAAGGAGGCCGTATGAAATGTGGATGGCGAGCTTTTTCTAGCCCACCGACTCACTGCTCAATTATGTCAAGGCCTTGTTAGCTGGTTTGCAGGAGGCCCCGAAGCATAGCCACTCAGAAATATGCATACCAGTATCCATTTCCATATGCACATGAATTGTGTCCTCTAGAAATCTAATGAACACTTTTGCTATATGGTCGTCAAGTAATTAATTTCTCAAGGATTGATACTATGTTATAGTAGTGATGAATCCTCTTTTGTGCGAAGAATTGGCCTCTCATCCTTGCCTATAGCTGAATTTCACATGTGATGGTGCTGTTGCTTAGCTTAGCTAGGAATGCAGCCAATATTGGTATAACGAGACTAGATTGGAAAAGCAATATGCTTCCTGGAAGAGGAAAGAAACTTTTGGCTGGTCCAGAAGTCATGTCAAACACATTAAAATTTTCATCCATTCTCCGAAAACTATATATATATATATATTTGTTTTTCCTAAAAATCATTTGAACCATACATTCTTGCAATTAAATATTTTGAACACAGTAAAATTTTCATCCATTCTCC